ATGATTATATGTATCGAGAATTAGATCAGACGAAGGATTTTGCCATGTTGTAGGAAGTTTTCGATAAAGATTGATTTCTAACTTTAAATTACTAATGAAAATTGTCAAATTTGTTTTATCAACACTATAATTGATTTTCGTTGATATAATATCATCATGACGTTTCTTTCCATCAAATGAAACGTCTTCTGCATGAGAATAATTGACAATGGACCATGTTCGCTCAGTAACTGGTTTTCCTTGGGGCCATACTCAAACTCGGACAATGTTTTCCTCCCCAGTAGTAATCACATATTTCGTATCGTCTTGATGAATAAAGATAATACTATTATTTATTATTTCGTGGGGAAGAGAAGACGATTGTTTAAGTGCTTCGCTACTAACTACGTCAGAGATCATGCTAAAATAAAAAATATGGATGTCCGATAAATTTTTCGCAAAATATTTTTACTTTAGCGATTTTAAAATAAAACGAATGGAAATATCATTATTGTATTCTTCTATAGAAGCGACTTTTGACTTATACCCTCTATTAAGTCTTATAAACATTGACCCTCAAGACTTGGGCTGCGTTCAAGTTCAAGGGCTAGTTCAAGTTTCAAGACTTGAGCTTTTCTGTAACGAAAAACCGGTCGTAAAATAAAATTTATTACTAGATGTAAAATATAACTAAGCATGTCTGATATGGAGAAATAACGCTTTTTTTTTCATATTGCGTTCCCAATTTAAAGTCACATGAGAGATAGGTCAGTATTAGGTGTTTGATAATTTTTCTTTCTGATAATCGCGACTATCAACGCCTTTTAAGCTGGAAATACGTTACTGTAATATATAAATACATTTTTCACTTAAGATATTACTCACGTCAGCTAGATTTTTCATCTTTCAATTTTGTACATCTACTATATATACCAACTTATAACGAATATCTAAATTATTTTTAATATCGTGTCTTACATTTTGTTTTCGTTCTGTCAATTGCTTCTTTAACCATGTGATTGTCTCATCATTATTTTTCAATTGTAAAATATCTTGCTCATGCTGTCGACTACACTCATCAATTGTTTTAATTAAATATTGGTTTTCACTTGAAAATTCTGCTAATGTCTTATTTAAATTCGATAATTTTTGTTTATTTTCTTGAATCAACTCTTCTTGAAAAATAATCATTTTACTTTTTTCCGATAACTAAAGAGATACATATCACATTTTATTTTCTACAGAATTCTCCATTGATTACATACTTTTTCCTGACATATTTTCAAATGTTTCTGTAATTTTCGAATCGTTTCTGAGCTGTCTTTTAATTTTTCTGACGCATCATTGACAAAATATTGTAATTGCTGAATTTGATTATTTAATTTCTCAATTAAGACTTCTTGTTCTCGCTAAAACACAATAAAAAAATCAACAAATAATAGTTGGCTCGTATATATTACGTTTTTTAATTGTTGTTGTCGGCATATATGTTTTTCTCTGTT